CTGAATCAGAGCAAAGTAAAGAGCAGGGTCCGAACTCTTCCGGTTATGTCTGTGGAGTTGAGTCCTAATTCAATGCTCGATGAGCTAAGGCTCCGAGAGCCCTTTTACATGCGCTTCAAAGTTTGATTTTGGGAAGTTTATCGAGCATGGGACGCTGGACCCGGTTTCCAGCTGGCGTATGTCAAGGTTATATCAGAGAGCTGGAATCGAGCATTGCTCGTAAGCTAAACTGGCTGATGCTGCCAGGATAACTCCGGGTTGAATTGTGAGGTCCCCGGCCTCGCCCCATTGCTTGTTATAATAAATTCTCAAACTTTCCAAAAAAAAAAAAAAAAAAAAAAAAAGCAAGTTACAGGCTGGGAAACGAGCCCTTCTCGAGAGGAGGTGTCGAAACCCTTTCCCTGACAGAGCCCTTCTCGAGAGGAGGTGTCTAAACCCTTTCCCTGACAGCTCCTGATTTTTTTTTATTTTTTTTTTTCCTCCTGATTTTTTTTTGCGTCTCAGATTTCGACATGCAGTGTGGCGAGGACAAAATGTCGAAAATGCAGTTTCGAAATTGGTGTGGCGAGGCCCTAAGGACAGTTTCCACAAGACCCCCACCTGCTGTACTCTAACTTTGGTGTCAATATCCTATAATAGCCTGAACTATCCTGCAAACAGAAATCATGAACGGTCCAAACCTACAGATCTGCCTAAGATCAAGTGTAGTATCTGTTCTGATCAGTCGAAAGGCCACACCACAGTCGAAAGGCCAAAAAATTCAACGGCTGTCAGAACAAATTAGACAGCCTCCATTTCGACAGTTTGCCCCCCCTTCGCCACACAGCACTGTAGAGTGCACGCACTTGTGAAAGCAAGATGGAAAAAGAGGAACGCCCCTGAGGGTACGACAAGCATCAGTCAATCCCCACCTTACCCCCACTCAGCAAATTTTGAAGAGAAGTCTACGGCGCAGCCGAGGAGTGTCGAAAGCATCAGAGTAACAGGCTGGGGATTCAACGACTTTCGACAGGAGGTGTCGAGAAGCATTCTCTGACAACTTGCAAATTTTCTTCTCGTCTCCGACTTCCACAGCCTGTGTGGCGAAGAGGAACTGTCGAAAATAGCATTTTTGACAGTGGTGCGGTAAGGGCCTCCCCACACAAATGTCGAAACATCACGAAATTGGACATATGTCAGGAAATTTTCGACATTCCCTCTTTCTACAGAAAAACCCTCTTCGCCACGCAGCATGGCGAAGTGAAGAACTCACGAGTCCTATGCACAAAAGAGACAAACTGGGGTGAAGATAGGAGAAGCCTTGGTGCGTTCTTTTTTTCGACATTCGGGCAAGAATTCGACATCCCGTCCGAGGACTTTTGAAAATCTCCAAGTTGCAGGCTGGGAAACGAGCCCTTCTCGACAGGAGGTGTCGAAAGCCTTTCCCTGACAGCTCCTGAAATTTTTCTGCATCTCGGATTTCGACATGCTGTGTGGCGAGGAGAAAATGTCGAAAATGCAGTTTTCGACATTGGTGTGGCGAGGCCCTTAATTTAGTATCTGATCCGTGGTCCATCGGGCCACATGATATTAAATTAATTTTTTGGGCCACGGAGGGGTAGGGCGGGTAAGCTTATTTATTGCACTGCTGCAGAGCGCGGCGCAGCCCACCCCCTCGACGGGGGGATTTCAGAAAAAAATAAAAAAAATAAAAAATAAAAATGGAGAGGTACCCAAGCTGGGCAAACTTGGAGCGCAGTGAAATTCAGGCTCGGCAAGAACAGTCTCCGAGATACTACCGTCTTCCCCCGAGCACAACGCACCCTCATTTTGGATGTATCTGGTTGGAAATATAGCTTGTATACATTCATTTTTAGGGTGCGTTATGTTCGGGGGAAGACGGTAGTGGTCTAAGCCGGAGGAATCCTCCTCTAGGCCCATAAATAGGGGACCGCTGCAAACGTAGGTATCTCTCAGAGAATTATGTTGCCCACCGCAGGGCGTGGGCCCGCCGGCGGTCACTGTTAGCATTGCGCGCATGTGTCCGCGCTCACTCACTCTGTCTGTGTTGCCATGTTCGGTTTTTTTTTTTTTTTTTTTTTTTTTGGGATGCTCACAGGACCCACCCCTACCTACCTCATCTTTCTGCTTCCTCAGCATAAACTCTGCTATGGGTTCGTCGGAGAGAGAACATTGATCGTCTGGAGTTCGCGGCGTGGGAACACTGGAGTGCAGAAGTCGGCTCTCTTGCACGAATGAAGAAATACTGACCTTAAATAGCAAAGATCAACGGCCGAAATCTCCTAACCGGCGCACGTGGGACCTTGCCCCGGCCGAGAAGACGCCAGAGCGGGAAAGGGAAGGAGGGAAGGG